AATACTAATGCATGAAAATCCTAACCTCAAAAAAATCACCCGTTATACATTTTTTGCCCGCCAGCAAGGTCATGACTGAGAGAGTTAAAAAAAGCCTTACGCAAGCTACGACCAAGCACGCATGCAGATCTTTTTAAGCTTTCTAAGCACCTTAGAAGAAAGTAAAGTAATTAGGACCAAAGCATACATACATATCCTACGGAAGAAACTTTTTAAAACGTTTTATAAATGTGAAGGCCTGCTCAAATAGGCGCGTATCGGACAAGATGCTATCGCACCGTGTCTGTTGGAGCAGTCCTTTACATGGGCGCGCATATACATACACATGTAGTAAAAGCTATCTCTGGTTGTCGCAAATATAACGGCGAAATTCGCAAGAAAGTCTACTTCTCTCTACTTTCCCAATGCTCACCTTCACTTTATTTCCTTCCCGTCGCCACCACCGATTAGTTATATCTGAAGAGCGGATTTGTATAAATGCGTCTTGTGCCTTTTGGCGATGAATTACTAAGCAGCACAACGCTGCGCAATTTGATATCACCCTGTATATACACCGTATCGACAATATCCGGTTTGATACGATATTTAAAATCAGTTATTAGTTTATCATTCAAGTAAACCTCAAATCCATTTTCCGCACACACAATGGCCAAGCGAAATGTTTTTCCAGGCCGAAAATCTGTATCCAATTCGGAGCGTTCCTCCTCTGCCCACGCGCCATTGAACCAAGCATTTCGACACACAATCGCCTTGCCAATTGCACCACTATGCTTCGAGAAACGTGGATTAAAATGAAATGCGATAATAGGATGAGGCCAGTAGTGTTGGCCCTTTTGTAGATTAATGTAAAATGATTGTGGCAGCAATTTAACACGCCCCACAATTTGTAAGCAACGCCCTACTTTTAGCGAATCGGGCGGCAACAGCCCATAGTATGGAAGCGGTATGCCACAGGCGATATTTTTCATTAAGGCAATCGAACTTTTAATACCCAGTGGCGCCCAATCTAAATTCGAGCCATCCACTTCATCGTATGGTATTAACGCTGTCTTATCACCATTTGGCTTGTCATGGAAAATGTCCAGTGCCATACTTATTTCTTTGGGATCAACGCCCGGTATATGCTCGGGATAGAACTCCACATCGGCGCGTTCCATGCTCACATCTTCCACATCGCCCTTCACCTCGATAGTCGACACTGACGAGTATGGTACACGGTGTGCATATTTGGCAAAATGTATGCCATTCACGGAGATCAGATAGTCGCTATCTGTTATGAAGATCTGCATGCCGAAACGGCTGCCACGATGCAGTGAGAACGGCAGTGCTGACGAGACTTCTTCCCTGCCCCATACGCCTTTCACCTTCGTATTGCGTACAATATAGTTTTGTGGAAGGCGTGGATTGATGTGCAGCGCAACATCGCGTGTTGCATTCTCGATGACGAAATTGATTGAAAACCTGAAGGACAAACGCAAAATGATTAATTGTTATTAATGGAAAATGGTTGCATGTGGACTTGCCGCTCGCAATTTAGCAGTATTTTTCCGGTTATTGTAAAGCTGATGCCCTCCTTCAAAGTGCCGATTTTTTCGTTTTGATATACAGGCAGCGGTTCCACATAGTCATAGAAGGAGCTCTGCAATTAGAAGATAAATACATTGAATTGAGGTGATAGGTTTAGCAATAAAAAGAGTAATTAAATTATATACATTTTGAAAGTTTACAATCAAACGAAACATAACAATCAACAATGCAGGCGATAAAGCTTTTTATTTCCATAAATATATATATTTTTTTTATATTTTGGTTGTCATACGGACCCTTTTACATGTACGTATATTTACAAAATTTCAATAACGTAACAAAATACAGAAGGTTTCAGTGACTTTAATTTTCAAGGGTTTAGTAGGTAAAGGGTGAGTTCGTAAAAATTTTAAAGATTTTAAAATAATAAGAGCTGTCAGCGGTTTCTTGGGGCTAGTTCCTGCAAATACGAGCATGGCAACCTTTTAACAGGCGCCTAAGGTACAATTGAGATACGAAGGAAACACTTCCTTATGTTTCTGAAGGCACACACAGGTGGAGCGTTTGTCGAAGAAGAACGCAGACCAATGTAAAGGGACGAAGCTCACGTCCAACCACTCAACCAAAACGAAGTGAGTGCATTAATAATGGGGTATAAAAAACAAAAGGCCCCAAGAGCCATATTAATGGCAGCTGAATAAGCCGACAGAAAAGATTTGTTGGGGCGCATTTACCAGCTGTTACGAACTGTTGGACTTACGAGTTTGCGCCAATTTTAGCGGAATACGCCTTCTTAATATCGATGATAAGGTCCTGTCGACGATACTATGTAAAACTGAAGTCCTTCATGAACTAACTTTACTTACTGGTATGGTTTCAGACCTGGTAAGTCCATCATTGGCCAGATTTTCACAGCACGTCTAATCCTGGGGAAGCCACCAAATTTGCAAATCGACACACGCAATCTTTGTTTCGATTTTTATAGCTGTTTTTGATATCACGAGGAGAACTTGACTCTAAGTTGGCATGTTGCCCCAACAATGTCAGCCTAGAGATCAGGTGAAAAATAACTCTTACCAACTGGTGTTACTTGGGGCTTGGTAGACGATTTCAAGGCATACCCGTTTCTCGACGAACAAAAATTACGCTCTACAAATCTCTCATCATGCCCAGGTGAAAAATAACTCTTACCAACTGGCGTTACTTGGGGCTTGGTAGACGATTGCAAGGCAGAACCCTTTCTTTAGGAACAAACATTATGGTCTACAAATCTCTCATCATGCCCGCCCTTGTATGGGGTGCAAAAACGTGGAAGATGTCGAATAGGGAGGAGAAAGTTTTGCGATTTTTTAAATAACTATTCTACGTAAGATCTATGGTTCGCGTGGTCGACGCATACCGATGAAGGTTGAACGATAAACTTTACAACGACATGGCTGATGGCATCCCGGGTGGACGATGAAAATAAAGGCGCCCGCAAACACAACGTAAGGACCAAGTGTATCGCCCTAAATCGATAAGGGTTTTTAGTGCTAAATAAGAAGAAAAAGAAACATGACATTGATATACCATTTTATAATATCTCTATACATATATACTACATATGTTAAACCTGGTTTCATACGTTAGACCGCGAGTTGACACCGTGCAAGAGGAGGTAGGGATTACCTTTTATCGAGGCTCTTTTATCATTCATTTTTTTGGAGGACTCCATTGGAAGAGTCATGCTCTAACTATCGTAGGCTTCTGACACTTTGATGGAAGCGATTGACGATCGAAACAGAGACATTTCGTTCCTCTATGAGTCTCTCGGTACTCGCAAAACCTTCCTTATTTCATTACTGTTAGCTTCGGTGCGTTCGAGATCGAAATTGATCTGGCAGTTGCCTCACTTGCAGTCTCATTTTTGGTGTTGAAACGGTTCACCAGGCGTTGAATATGCCGATGAATCTTCAACTGACTAATGAACCGAATGCACAATAGCACACAAACGAGCATTGCAGACACTGAATCGAACTATGAACCGACTAAGCCTTCGATTAAATTTCCGATTCGCCATACATTCGTCATGACAATCAATTAAAGCCTATCTTAGGAAGTAATTCAAATTAGTGTCGAATTCCCGTGCTTCACGCAGGGTCAATAATGTGGCGAGTTGGTAAGCTTTTATCTTTGTACATGCATACATATACGCGCCGAATTGGCGAAACGAAGAACGTAGTCCTCCACAAAGCATAGAATCGATCCGACCAGTGATTCCTTTAATCTCTTTACATTCCCTTTTAAATAAAGGACGTTGAACACAAATGAAAACGAAATTGCAGGGGCGTCATTTGTTTTCGACAGCGATCAAAAATTAAGTTCGAGTGAAATCGTAAATCGTAATTATTACAATAAAAAAAAAAATTATGTAGGAGATTATGTGTACAATTGGTTGCCCAAATACAGTCGTCTTAATCGAATTAGGAAAACTCCCTTGACGCCCAGCTTGTTGTGAAACCCTCCTCATATCCCAGCACAATTTTTTTTTTTAATGACACAAGTGAATTGCGAATTTGGATATGTACATATGTACTTACTTTAATGAATAACAATTTGAAATATGTATGTATATATTTTGTCAGCACACAAAAATTTCATTCTGACCCCGTGCACACCTAAATTGGAGCGATAATTGCCTTGCATGTGTGCTTAGCATACGATTTCGTGCATTGCAAGAGTAGCTTAACATTTTATGTATTGCAGTTTTTATGAGCTCAGTGGTTTGTGGCTTGTTTGATGACATAATACATATGTACATATGTTTATGGACATCTGAATATAATAATGTGAAACATATGTATGTACATTAGGGTGCTCCAAAAAATTGAAGTCGGAATTTCAATGCTCTCACCCCTAGGATTGTTCTATACCGAAAAAATATATTTCCATTTTCTTAATTTAAATAAAGAAATATTTATAGGTCGTTCAAAGCGCTCCATGTATTTTATTTGGAGAAAACAACAATTTTTCGTATAAATGGTGTAGAATTCTTGAAAATCAATATTTTTCAATCGGAAAACTCCGTTTTTATTGAGGATACTTCCAAAAACAACACCCAATTGTTTGTTTAACAATTTCCTAACACTAGATAACTATTATTTATAGGTCCCTCAAAAACCCCAAAAAAATGCAATAAAAATCGTTTGTTTTAAAAAATGGCAAACTAAACAATTGGGTATTATTATCGGATCTCTCCTGAAGAGTTTTCCGATCGAAAAATATTGATATTCAAGAATTCTATACCATTTCTACGTTCCCCATATAAAAAAAAAATTGAAATTTTGAGCGCTTTGATTGACCTCTAAATATTTTTATACCTTTCATGAGCATGAAATGGTATTATAACTTTGGTCCGATGTTTGTAAGTACCAGAACAAAAAGAGATAGACCCATTAAAATGTATACTTATATGATCAGAACGTCGAGCTGAGTTGATTTAGCCATGTCCGTCTGTTCGTCTGTCCGTCTGTCCTTCTGTCCGTCTGTCCGTCTGTCTGTCTGTTTGTATGCAATCTAGTCTCTCAGTTTTCGAGATATCCCTATCAAATTTGGTAGGTGGGTGTATTTTTATAATCTATTAATCATTTGTCGGAACCGGAAGAATCGGACCACTATAACATATAGCTTCCATACAACTGATTGTTCAGATATGAGATTTTTCGTTATAACTTCTCCATTTATGCAGCTATGAACATGAAATTTTGCAGTACTTGCACCCATTATCAACACAATACTTACAGTGAAAATTACAAAGATCGAATCACTATAACCTATAGCTCCCATACAACTGATTATTCAGATATAAAATTTTTCGTTATAACTCATCCATTTATATAGCTAGGAACATGAAATTCCGCACTGTTTTCAATAATTATCAACAGAAAACTTACAGTGAAAATTAAAAAGATCGGGTAACTATAACCTATAGCTCCCATACAACTGATTGTTCAGATATGAGATTTTTCATTATAATTCATCCATTTATGTAGTTAGGACCATGAAATTTCGCACTGTTTGCACTCATTATCAACAGAAGACTTACAGTGAAAATAACAAAGATCGGGTCACTATAACCTGCAGACCCCATACAACTGATTGTTCAGATATGAGGTCTTTTATCATAACTCCTCCATTTATGCAGCTAGGAACATGAAATTTCGCACCATTTTCACTCATAATTAACAGAATACTTACAGTGAAAATAACAAGGATCGGATGACAACATATATCTTCCATACATCTGATTGTTCAGATATGGGATTTTACTGTAAAACTTCTTAATTTGAACAGCTAAAACCGATAAATTTCGTAAGATATTTTATAAATAATAATACAAAGTCTACTGAGAAAATCATCAAAATCTATGCTATATAAGCTTTATCTCCTATAGCACTGATTGTTCAGATACCAGTTTTTGGCATATATCTCCTTTATGTAGGAAACTAAACCCAATAAATTGTGTTACCGGTTTACATACCGATCACATAGCAGTGAAAATCACTTAGATTGGTGCCATATAAAGTATATCTTCCATACCTCTGATTGTTTAGATGCGATTTTTTATATAAGTATGTAACTCCTCTGTCGATGTATTCAAAAGCGGTAATCTGTCAAAGTAAAATTTGCAGATGTTCATGAAAGGTATGAAGCCTTCGGCATAGCCGAAGACAGCGCTGCTGTTACTTGTTTATTTTATATTTTTTCGATAAGAGGGGATGACAACATTAAAATTCGGACCTTACTTTTTTTTTTACTTGCATTTTTGGACCACCCTAATGTGAATACATATATATATGTATATGAGTAGAGGAGTATGTAGTATGTAAATACAATATACATACATATTACAATACTTTGGTGAACATATTAATTGACAAGTATTTAATTACTTGTGTGCTCTTACGCCAGGGGTTAAAAATTTATTTAAAGTAATATTATTAACTTGCTAATTCGCACTAATTGACATTTGGGTGGAATAAGTTAAAACAAATAAGCACTTTGTTCGTCCACAATTTTTCGTGAATGTGACTCAAAATTCTTCGAATATCGCAAATAGGACTGCTCAGAAAT